TTTTTTTTTTCATTTTTTAAGGTTAAAGTTATCATTTAGTCTCTACTTTTAATAATTCAAACTCATTTTTGTTCTCATTTTTTTAAGTTAAAATTAATTTAAACTCATGTTGTTAGGGTTTAAAATTTGTAGAATTCACTATTTAAGATGTTAGGGTTTAAGCTTTTATAGTTTAGTATTTAAATTATTTTAGGATTTCATATTTAATTAGGTGTTATAATTTAGATCTTTTAGATCTAGTATTTTATTATTTTAATGTTTTTAAATTTCTTAAAATTTAGTGCTTAATGTGTTTGGAGTTAAACTTTTAAGGAGTAAGATTTAATGTTAAAAAGACTTAAGTATTTAATAATTTAAATAATTTAAAATTAAAAATTAGAGGACTTAAAAATAAAATAAAATAATATAAAATTTATAAAGTTAAAATAGAAAAGTAATAGAAACCAATCGGCCTACGATCAGTCGTCTAGCAGTAATCTTTTTTTAATTAATTAAAGATAAAAATTAAAAAATAATATATAGTTTAGTTTTTTTTTTTTTGAACATAATATATAGTTTAGTTTTTTTTTTTTTGAACATAATATATAGTTTAGTTTGGAGCACAAATGAGCGTAGTGTACATTGTAAAAACATTTAAATATCTTTAATAATTTTTTTAAATGTTTTTATTTATTAAAAATATTTGATATATTTTTATAACTCAAGACGACATTTCATTCAATAAAAATAGGCAAAACTATACGTTAACTCCCTAAACTAACTCTATATTTGCTATTGAACCTCCAAACTTTAATTGATGTATATAAGCTCTTAAACACTAAAATCTAAGCAATTCAACCCTCATTCGTACTTCAATTTAACTCTTTTTCTTACTTCAATTTAGCTTATATTCTTATGGTAGTTAACGATTTAAGGACTAAATTGCTTAGATCGTGGAGTTTATGGGCTTATATATATTAATTAAAGTTTGAGAGCTCAATAGTAAATCTAGGAATAGTTCAGGAGCTTAACATATGGTTTTACCAAAAAAGGGCCCGGCGCATTTCAATCCATGGTGCGAAAAACCTTGCTTTATAATTTTATTTTTTTTTTTTGAGAAGGACAATGAATATAGGTGTTAATGTGTTAAAAAGGATATTAAACTCGAAACATAAAATGCAAATCACAACTTACCCTAAAAGCAACAAGTGGCCGTTATGGCATCCACATGGAATGGTTATAAATTAGACTAATGAGGGGTTGGATCAAGTGGTAAGCGACTTATTCCAGTTTAAACAAGATCTCGAGTTTGAGTCCTTGCATACGCAGCAGCTTTCGTTGGGAGATCCACCCATCATTTTCATGTGTACAACCCGAGCGGATCCGAATTAATCGAAGCGAAGCCCCAAATATCAAAGGGGAACAGAAAAAAAAAAAAAAATATTTGGAAGCCCATAAGAGTAGTTTTTTCAACGAGAGACTGTGAGGAACTAGCCCGTGTTTATTAAAGAAAGGTTGTAACTGGGGATTACTTCTCACTTAAGTAGCTCTGCGCAAATAGTTTTAGGCCCGCTTCTCTAGGGCCTTTGATTTGACCTTGGCAACCTAACCCTTCACAATCGAGGGGAGACCAAAATAAAAAATAAAAAAAAATCCAATTGCATTATCCATGTCCATCTTGTTGACATATATATATACTAATAAAACATGCCAAAAGGTTAGGTCAAGAAAATTAATGATGGTTACTAAGAAACCAACTAACACTTGAGGGCTGGCTTAGGGTAGGGTGGAACTAGTGCACGTAATCCCATTGTGAGCCTAAGCTAGCTAATTTGTCAATTTTCACCTAATTAATCATCGTTGACGTCGCTTACCCTGCCCACTGTTCGTTGCCCGGCGCCGCCGGTGGAAATAGTGTAGCGGAAGGGCTGGGCATTTGGAAACCAAACCGACGGATTATCTAGAAACCGAACCAAAAAATTAAATTCGGTTCAATTTCAATGGTTTTTTGTTTTTACTATTTCGATTTTGATACTAATCAAATAAATTTTGATTTGATTTCAATTGAACCTTTTAAAAATCAAAAACTAAAAATAAGTTTTTTAAAAATTAAAATTAAGATAAATATAAAAAAATATGATAAAATATAATAAAATATAAAATAAAATATAATTTATTATTAAAAAATAATTAATAATATTTTTTTAATAAAAATCGAAACCGAACCAATTTATTAATAACTAAATCAATTGATTTGTAAAACTTTTGAATCGGTTTTGGTTCTCAAAATTAAAAAAAATTTACTTATTTTAAAACCGATTTTGATTTTAATCAAAATCAATTTTTGCCCACCCCTACATGTAGGCGTCTCAGTTGTACGGTGTGATCCATGTCATCCAAAGATTATGTGCTTAAAAGCAAAGTTATCTACAACGCAGGATTGACATCCAATATTGGGTCAATTAATTACCCTCATACATTTATGTAGCTACTTGAAGAAACGGTTTATTAATAAAGTTGAATATCCCTAGAGAATTACTTCCCTAAGCAAGGACCGTGTTATAAATATTGTAGTTTTATTAAGAAAATCTAAGGATCTAACCAAATCCAAGTAAAAACTACAATATCGGTTAACCTAGGAGTATCTCCACATGCAAACGACTATCAATGACGAAAGCTTGAAAAGGGATAGCCCCGGCCTTTATGTTTTTTTGGATTTCATTTAGATGTGTTTGTGATTACCAATTCAGTCCCTTTTTCAATGACGTTTAAATATACGACTACGCATGCATAGCAACTTAATTGTGTAATTATATAACTAAATCTAATTAATTAAAAAGACTTTAAATCGTTAATAGTTTAGATTAACTTGTGTAATAGATGATCATATATTACGTTTATCATTGACGATATTAATTCAACATGGCGTCATTAATTTGTGATATGGAATTATATCGGAGTATTACCTTTTGTTGGAAATCAAAGTGATGATGAAGAGGAACGATTAGACCTTTGGAAGAAAAGAAAAGAAAAGAAAAGAAAAGAAAAAATGCAAAAGTTGGAACGACTAATAAATAAATATTGTCTTATAATTTTAAATCTTGAGTTTAAGTTTATTAATATTTTAAAAAGTAATTTTTTAAATGTATTATACTAATATGAAAATGTATTTTTAAAATTATTAATAAAAAATCAATATTGAAATGCATTAAAATTAATTCAAGAACTCTTTTACAATAAATAATAATTAAAAAATTAAAGAAAAGCAAAAAAAGATGAGCAACTAAATAAATGGTAGGCCAACGCCAATTAGTGTTTTAGTTTGTGCGGAACAGAGGGGAGCTAATTATTCATCTTGATTTTAATTAATTAGACTAAATAAATAAAAGTAGTGCTCTAATTAAGAAACAAAATAATTACATGGAAGAGGAAGGCCAGTAAACACATTTTAATATTTTTTTAGTGGGGTGCGAGTTCTCTGTACTTTCCTATATTTATCCCATTTCCTAATTATATGTTTATATACATAATGTGACATTATGTATACAGAAGTCTACATCATTAATTTAACAAATTAAATGTTGATATTATAGTTCCTAAACAGGTGTTTCAACTAATTATGGCATCAGTGGCAGAGGGAGGGAGTTGCGAGGGGAGGTGCTAGCCCCTTGAAATTTGAAAATATTTATAAATTAATATATAAAAAATTATCTTATTTTTTTTTAAAATTAAAAATTTTATAAATTAATATATAAAAAAATTATCTCGTCCTTCTTAAAAAAAAAATCTGACTCGGCTCCTGTATGGCATGCTGTTTGTGTCTGTACTGACCAAGTGAGCTAGAAGAGCATGTGCCAATTAACCAACTCTTGAATATTTTTTTTCCTTGTGTTATATTGATGTTTTTCTTTCATGCATTAGAAAAACTGCTTGGCGCTGTATATATATGAATTTGTATATCTAACTTTAATTGACTTTAAATTAGAGTTTTTTGAATTAGTGAGTTTGAAAATTTTGTTGGAACTTGGTATGCTTATAATGTTGTATAAGACAAAAATGAAGAATACATTTAGTGGGGTTGGTCGAGATTAGAACACAGCACCTAGGCAACTACCAAGGGAGGAAACATTTTCAGTGTCTACCCCACTAGATCAAGTCTGAGATAATATATTTTTCCACCTTATCTCGATTCCCGACGTCACAGCCAGCATTATCCCTCTTTCTTAGTCAATAAAATAATTTTTTTAATGAAACTTAATCAATAAATTAATGCAAATGAGAGTATTTCAAATTTTCAACGCTAGCTTGAAATTTGAGGTGTTTTTACCAAATCATGCTGAGTCGATTGGCCCAAGTCCCGCCTCCCCCATACCTCAAATATATTGTGTTAATTAGTTTCACTTTATTTTAACTTCCAAGTAATGTTCTTATTTTTTTTTTCTTTTTTCTTTTTTTTCATATGAGTAATTTGTAACAACTAACAATAAGGGGACTGATGAGGAGGGAGAAATTAGGAAGGGATTGGTGGGACTTGAACACAGTCCCACCAAGTGAATTCCAAATGGCTCCTAACTATGTTACTGTACTTGTAATTTGAATTTTCAATTAATGTACTCAAAAAAGAAAAAGATTACCAATGCTTGTTGTAGAATGCTTGCCAAAAACAAAATTATAAAAAAGAATAATATTCAAGGGATTCACATATAATATTGAATTTTATTTATTCATTTATTTAAAATCATATCACGTGATATAGCATTATACATGTAATATCGCATATATATATAATTGATTTTTGTTTTTAAAAAATCAATTAGTCTTCTTGAGTACTTGTTAGATTTAATTTATAGATATTAGCTTTCAAATTTTCAATTTTTAATTAAGAGGCTAGCTAGCTAGATATATATTTGCAGTATATATGTTAAATTAGTGTTTAGGTTATCGGTTCTGGTAATCTAGTATACTTTGATTGGACTATGTAGGTTCAATGAACGGATAACCTTGTATGCATGTTACCACAATTGCTGGTCAAATGCACATAAGCATATAGACAAATTAGGTTGGTTTGCTGAGTTAGTTATTGATTATAATAGTATCTTCTTTTTTAAAAAACTATGTAGAGTCTAATTTGTTAACTTTTAACATGAATTTTAGTACTCCTACCTTATAGAGTGCTCCGTGAAATACAAAGGCGCACATTCGCGTATGTTGTTTGTTGCTATAACAAATTGCTAGATTAGATTAAAGAAACCACTCAAATCCATGGTTTCCTGGATCTAGATTCATGATGCCAGCTAAATGAAACAATAATTAATCAATCTTTTATATATTACTGTTGAATGTAGTAGTGGATGCTTATTGTGAAGAGAAATAAAACATATATAAGTACATGCTTTCGCGTCACTAAATCGACTCAGTTGGCAAAAACCAGCAATCTTATGCATCCAATTTGCATGTCCCATGTTATTCCCTACCTAAC